GTTTGGATCATGGGAGTAGATCCCTATGAGCTTCGTGCTGTTTTAGCAATAGTGAGTGAATTCTCATGATATCTGCTCATTTAAAAGTGTATGTCACCTCTGCCCACACTCTCCGTCTTGCTCCTGGTCTCACCATGTGAGATGCCTGTTCCCGATTCACCTTCCATCATGGTTGGAAACTTCCTAAGGTCAACCCAGAAGGCAAGCAGATGGTGGTGTCATGCTTCCTGTACAGCCTGCAGAGCCATAAGCCAATTAAACCTCTTTTCATTAGAAATTACTGAGATGCAGATATTGCTTTATAGAAATGCAAGAATTGCTTAATACAGAAAATTGGTAACAAAGAGTGGGGCACTGCTATAAAAATACCTGAAAATGTGGAAGGAACTTTGAAAGTGGGTGACGGGCAGAGGCTGGAAGAATTTGGAGAGCTCAGAAGAATACAGGATATAAGGGAAAGTTTGAAACTTCCTACAGACTGGTTAAATGATTGTGATCAAAATGCTGATAGTAATATTGAAAGTGAAATCCATGCTAAGACGTTCAGGTACAAATGAGGAACTTACTGGGAACCAGAGCAAAGATCATGCATGTTATGCCTTAGTAAAGAATTGGGCTGCATTTTGCTCCTGCCCTCGGGATTTGTGGAAAGTTGAACTTCAGAGTGGTTTAGGGTATCGGATGTAAGAAATTCCATTTTTTTTTTTTTTCCTTTTCCAAAAATACAACAGAGTCTCACTCTGTTGTCGAGGCTGGAGTGCTGTGGTGCAGCCTCAGCTCACTGCAACCTCCGCCTCCCGGGTTCAAGCAATTCTCCTGTCTTGGCCTCCTGAGTAGCTGGGATTACAGGCGCCTGCCACCACGCCTAGCAAATTTTTTGTATTTTTAGTAGAGAAGGGGTTTCACCATGTTGGCCAGGCTGGTCTTGAACTCTTGACCTTGTGATCTGTCTGCCCTGGCCTCCCAAAGTGTTGGGATTACAGGTGTAAGCCACTGTGCTTAACCACAGTGGAATAAACTTCCAAGCAGCAAAGCATTCAAGATGTGCCCTGGCTTCTTCTAATTGCCTGTGCTCCAATGTCATATCAAAGAAATTTAAATTTAAACAGGAAGAAGAGCATAAAAGTTTGGAAAATTTGCAGCCTGACCGTGTGGCATAGAAGCAGCTTTCTTCAGAGAGGAACTCTAGCAGGCTGTGGAACAACCACTTGCTAGATAAATTTGCATAACTAAAAAGGAGTCAAGAGTTAATGTCTAAGACAATGAGGGAAAAACCATAAAGGCATTTCAGAGACTTTTGGCAGCCCTTCTCATCAGAGGCCTAGGAGGGAAGAATAGTTTTGAGGGCCAGGCCTAGGGCCCTGCTGTTCTGTGCAGCCTTGAGATACTGCTCCCTGCTTCCCTGCCACTCTGGCACCATCCTCAGCTCACAGGGGCCCAGGTACAGCTCGGGCCACAGATCCAGAGAGTGCAACCTGTAAGTGTTGGAGACGTCGATGTGGTGTTAAGCCAGTGGGTGCACAGAGTGCAAGAGTTGAGGTTTGGTAGCCTCCGCCTAGATTTTAGAGTATTTACAGAAAAGCCTGGGTGTCCGGGTAGAAGACTTGCAGGGGCTGGCAGAATCCTTACACAGAGCCTCTGCTAAGGTAGTGCCAAGGAAAAATGTGGGGTTGGACCTTTTACACAGAGTCCCCAGTGGGGCACTACCTAGTGGAGTTGTGAGAAGAGGGTCACTTTTCTTCAGATTCAAGGATGGTAGATAAGCCAGCAGCTTACATGTTGCACCTGGAAAAGCCACAGACACTCAATTCCAGCACCTGAGAGCAGCTGTGGGTGGTACACTCTGCACAGCCGCAGGGGCAGAGCTACCTAAGGCGCTGGGAGCCCACCCCTTGCACCAATGTGGCTTGGATGTGGGACATGGAGTCAAGAAGATTATTTTGGAGCTTTAAGATTGGGTTTCAAACTTGCTTGGGACCTATAGCCCCTTGGTTTTGGCTAATTTCTCCCATTTAGAATGGGAACATTTACCTAACAACTGTACCCTCATTATATCTTGGAAGTAAATGACTTGTTTTTGATTTTACAAGCTTATAGGTAGAAGGGACTTGCCTTGTCTCAAATGAGACTTTGCACTTTGGACTTTTGAGTTAATGCTGGAATGAATTAAGACTTTGGGGAACTATTAGAAAGGCATGATTGCATTTTGTAATTTTAAAAGGATATGATATTTGGGAGGGGCTAAGGGCAGACTGATAAAGATTGGATGTTTGTTCCCACCCAAATCTCATGTTGAATTGTAATCTCTAGTGCTGGATGTGGGACCTGGTGGGAGGTGTTTGGATCATGGGTCTGATTCCTTATGGCTTGGTGCTGTCTTTGTGATAGAGTTCTTACAAGATCTCATCATTTAAAACTGTGCCTCCCCCCATCCCCACCCTGGCCAACACATACACTTTGGCTCTGGCCATGTGATATGCCTGCTCCCCCTTCACCTTCTTCCATGATTAGAAGCTTCTTAAGGCCTTCCCAGAAGTGGAGTAGATGCTGGTACCATACCTCCTGTAAAACCTGCAGAACTGCGAGCCAATTAAAGCTCTTTTCTTTATAAATTACCAAGCTTCAGGTATTTCTTTATAGCAATGCAAGAATGGCCTAATACAATAATATGTAAGAAACACCCAAAACAAGGTTAAAGTCACTGATGTCACCTGGAGTGCCTCTGCAGGGCTAAGTAGAAGTTTAGCCCATTTGAACAGAAGTCTGATAGAACTTTCTGCAGTGACAAAAATGGTCTATGTCTGACTTGTTCATTACAGAAGCCGTTTACCACATGTGGCTGTTGAGCACTTGAAATATTGCTAGTGTGATTAGGAATTAAATTTTAATTAATTTAAATTTAAATAGCCACATGTGTCTAGTGGCTACCCTATTGGACATCACAGCTTTAGAAACCAGAAAAACATATTTCTTGTGCACGTGTTTTGAGCCCTTGTACTCTTGAGTCTATATGTGTGGCTGCTCTCTCCACCATGCTATGAATTTCTCAGGAGGGGGACAAAGTGTTATGTCATTGTGAAGCCTTAATATGGGACTCGGGAGAGAAGATCAGAGTACATGTTAAATGGATTTGAATAGTAAAAAGAGAATAGGGAGATTAATGCTTGAAATAAGTAAAATGCATGAGCCTGTACTGCTCATTTTGCAAGATAGGAGAGGAGGTATTTTTAGTGTTTTCATGCATTGTTTGGAATACTAGACTAGGTTCAAGGATTTCTTTTCTTATATTGCTGAGATTCCTTTTAAAGAGAAGCATCTAACATGTGAAAGAATAAAACTCTTAGTTAAGTTCCTAGGTATGTGACATGGATAACATGCCACTAAAGTATAGCACAGGATTTTGTAATCTATACATGCCGCAGGTATTCCAAGGGCTATGCTAGGTAACCCAGTAAATGAGAAGCATATAGGAGAGAGAAACCTAGAGCATAAATAAGTAAAACAAAAGGTATAATCAGTTCATTAAATAAAAAATGGGGGCTGAGAGTGATTAACGGAGAGTTTTTTTGATATAGCTGATTATAGAAAGTCTTTCTGAGATGGTGGAGTTTGACACCAAAAGGATAAGGAACTAGTTTAGAGAAGAGTGGGCGGTAGTACTGAACATGAGGTGGAGAAAGTGTGTGACAGAAGGATGGAGAGAGGATGGTGGAATCCAAAAGGCTGTCAGAGAAGATGGGCAGTGGCCAGGCCATGAGGGAGGTTATGGCTGTAAAGATCTTGATAGGGATGCTGGATTTTCATTCTATGTAAGTGGAAATCTGTTGTAGAATTTCAAGCAGGATGAGCTATTCTGGCTTAACTTTCTAAAAGGATCACTTTAACTGCTACAGGGAGTGTATTAGTGTATTCTCAGGCTGCTATAAAGAACTGCCTGAGACTGGGTAATTTATAAAGGAAAGAGTTTTAATTGACTCACATTTCTTGCTTTACTGGGAGGCCTCAGGAAACTTACAATCATGGCAGAAGGTGAAGGAGAAGTAGGTACCTTCTTCACAGGGTGACAGGAGAGAGTGAGTGAAAGCAGGGCAAATGCGAGATTTCCCTTATAAAACCATCAGATCTTGTGAGAACTCACTCACTCTCAAGAGAATAGAATGGGGGAAACTGCCCCATGATCCCATTACCTCCACCTGGTCCTGCCCTTGACTTGTGGGGATTATGGGGATTACAATTTGAGGTGAGATTTGGGTGGGGACACAGAACCAAACCGTATCAGGGAGAATGGATTGAAGGGAGGAGAGAGTGGACTAGGAGGTGTGAGGTTGGAGGCTCTGGCAGTAGTCACATGAACTAGGAGGGTGGTTTGGGTGAGGATTATAGCAGTGGTGGGCTAAGGGGTGAATAAATCTTGCAGATAAATTGGAGGTGGAAACTGTAGGACCTGTTGATGGATTGGATGTGGGATGTGAATGAAAAGGAGGAATTGAGAATAACTTTTTTTTTTTTTTTTTTTTTTTTTACTTGAGCAAATGGGCAGATAGTAGTGCTGTTAACTGCAGTAGAGGACATTGTTACTGGTTCGGTGAATTTTGGAGAAGAAAATAAAAATATTCCCCCCATCTTTTTTTTTTTTTTTTCCCTTGAGACAGAGTCTTACTCTGTCGTCCAGGCTGGAGTGCAGTGGTGCCATTTCGGCTCACTGCAACCTCCGCTTCCCGAGTTCAAGTGATTTTCCTGCCTCAGCCTCCGGAGCAGCTGGAATTACAGGCGCGCACCGCCATATCCGACCGCCGGGTGGCGGGGGCGGCAGGGAGGCGGCGCTGTGGGGCTGTAGGCGGGCGGAATCTGTGAGCGGCCTCTGCGCCTGCGCCTCGCGAGTGCTGGAGCCCATTTTGCCTGCCCGCTGTGGAGAGACTTGCGCGGCCCTTGCGGCCTACCGCTCGGAGGACAGCCCTTGAAGACGACATCTCCACGAACGCTGGCCTCTTGAGCGGGGGGAACGCTCTTTTGAAAGTGACTCCCCAGAACAGTTAAGGTTTTATTTTATTTCCAAGTCACAGCCCCCCACTCTCGTACAGCTCACCTGGACCACTTCTGGTTGCCGGCCCGCACCTCGTAACTTAGGTTTGAGTGACCTCGGCCCGGGATGCCCCTTGGCTCCCCCCGGGCTCATGTCTTGATTCTGTCTTGAGTGGCGCAGGGTGGGAGACCTGGAAGTTTTAGCCTCGCTGTTCTCAAGGCGGGTTAATTAGCCCTAGAAACTTTATATTCATTTTCTGCATATGCCGCCGAAGGATCCGTGCCAGAAGCAAGCCTGTGAGATACAGAAATGTTTACAAGCCAACAACTACGTGGAATCAAAGTGTCGGTCTGTCATCCAAGAACTGCGTAAGTGTTGTGCTCAGTATCCGAAGGGAAGGTCTGTCGTCTGTTCAGGATTTGAAAAAGAAGAGGAAGAAAACCTAACACTGAAGTCTGCATCGAAGTCAAGCTCTGCTGAAGTGCTGCTCCATGTTTCCACAGAATGAATTTTTTTTTTTATCTTCCTTTCTTCAGGCCAGGTAACAGCAAATGGCAAATGAAAAAGTCAGCTATAAAAGTTAATGAATATGCCATCTATGCAGAACAGGCAGAAATATAAACATTAAAAGATAAATATGCAGAATGTAATAAACTGAGCTGCTAAAATAAACCTGTTTAAGAGAAAAAAAAAATACCCGACTGTATTTTTAGTAGAGATGGGGTTAGTAGAGATGGGGTTTTCACCATGTTGGTCAACTCTGGATCTCCTGACCTTGTGTTCCACCTGCCTCTACCTCTCAAAGTGCTGGGATTACAGGCATGAGCCACCATGCCTGGCCCAAAATAACTTTTTTTAACATGTTAAGTTTGACATGTTTAAAAGAGTATCACAATTTGAGCATCATTATGAGTACATTGCCACACAAAGGTAACAATGAAATTTATTGAATCAAGAGAAGATCATGGATTTAATAATTAGGAGTGCTCTGACTAGAAGTAGTGACAAATATTTAGGGTGGGAACAAGTGATGAAAGGCCTGAAATATGACCATAACGTCTTTTACCCATATATTGTTGGCAAATTAGTCTATATTTAAAATGAATAATTTAGTGCTTTCCTGAACTAATGATGTTTAACTGAGACTAAGAAACCTACTTACTAATATTTAATACATTCCAAACAAGATACTTCCTTTTCTATGTTTCTTTTAATAGTGGACTTAAGTTTTGATTAGAGCACATACTAGTATATATGTTTTTAAATCCATAGTTCTTTTACTATTTGTTCATCTAAAGGTCAAGAACTCTTGTTTCTTATGCTTTGTTTTTCGTGATTCCTGTTAACCTGGTTTTATTTTCATTTTATTTGGATATTTTATGCCTTTCAGTATGTCATAGCCAGAAAAAGACTAGCAGAATACTGGCCAGCTGTGGTGGCTCATACCTGTAATCCCAGCACTTTGGGAGGGTGAGTTGAGTGGATCACGAGGTCAGGAGATCGAGACCATCCTGGCCAACATGGTGAAACCCTGTCTCCACTAAAATAAAAAAATTAGCTGGGCGTGGTGCACGCCTGTAATCTCAGCTACCCTGGAGGCTGAGTCAGGGGAATTGCTTGAACCTGGGAGGCAGAGGTTGCAGTGAGAAGAGATCACACTACTGCACTCCAGCCTGAACAATACAGCAAGACTCTGTTTCAAAAAAAAAAAAAATAATAAAATAAAGAAAATAAAAGACTAGCAGAATACTGCGTTATCTAATATAAAAAGTGGGAATAAATGATTGTTTTTAAATATACAGTTTTCTTAAGAAGTGTATTTCAAGAAAATATACATATTAGTGGTCGTATTTTGAAGGTTAGTAGATTTTACAGTCTGAACATTATTTATAATAGTTCCTGAATTCCCAGCCTGGCTCTATAATTTAGTGTAATTTTGGTGGATGGGCCATTGAATGGCATGTAGGTGTATGTTTGTCTTGCCCCATGGGGCATGCTAATTGCTTTGTACTCCCTCCTAGAACTGTTCATTTTAAGTATTTAGTCACCTTGGTAAAGGTAGGTGAAAATTAAAGCTTAAAATAAGCTATAATTATATTCAGCATTGGTGATATATTACTCTGACAGAGGAATGTAAATTGGATCTAGATATTATATGGTATTAAAGCTGACCTTCCAAGTTTAAGGTATGAAATTTGTTAGTTTGTCACATGTGAGCAGTAATGTATTTTTTCTCATTTGAAGAAGCTTTGTATATTGATTTTAAACCACCTAGATTTCTGTTTCCCTAGACATTCATGTAAGATTATTCTTTTGGGTAATTAAAAATATTTTTCTTATTACAAAAAATGTAAGTTCATTTTATGACAAGTAAATATGCAAAAGGAAAATCAAGAAAAATATATTATCTACTTAAATAGACACTAACTTGGAGGAAGAGAGAGAGACAGACAGACAGAGGGAGAGAGACTGTCTACAGAGAAAGTCTTCCTGTCTAATACCATCGGTTGGTTGGTTGGTTAAAAACATTTGTTAGCATGTAATCATCAAATAAATGATTCAAATATACCCCAAACATTTTTTTAATTCAATTAAAAGCATAATAATTCTTTCTCTAGATATTTCATGTGGAGCAGACCTTTTCTTGGAGTGTGCAAAGGCTGTACATAAAACATACCCATAATGCATTGTCTTCCTGGTATTGGTGTTTTAAAGTAGAACAGGATTGTAAAGGCTCTGGCAAAGCAAACTGAGTACAGAACTACTCGTCTGTTAGAAAAAAAAAAAAAAAAAAAAAAAAATCTTGGTTGGGCGCTGTGGCTCACACCTGTAATCCCAGCACTTTGAGAGGCCAAGGTGGGCGAATCATGAGGTAAGGAGATCGAGACCATCTTCCAACATGGTGAAACTCTGTCTCTACTACAAACACAAAAAAATAAAAATTAGCTGTGCGTGGTGGCGCACACCTGTAGTCCCAGCTACTCGGGAGGCTGAGCCAGGAGAATTGCTTGAACCCAGGAGACAGAGATTGCAGTGAGCTGAGATCATGCCACTACACTACAGCCTGGGTCACAATGCGAGATCCGTCTCAAAAAACAAATCTTTTTGGTACTATGATTTCCCTTTAATATATCGTTGTGCCCACATTTACTTTTACTGCAATTTAAAAAAGTAATGTATTTTCAGCTTTCCAAAACATTAGGCTTAGTTTTCATAGAAGTACCTCTTTCCCAATTACGTGTAACCTGTTTGTATCATGTTAATTAAATACAGTAGTAAGTACAACTGTCAAGAATGGATTTGAAGAGAAACCCAACTGGTTCTGGTGGGAGCAGTGTGTGGGGATGTATAAGAAAGTAGAATGCAGGCCTTGAATTAGCTGACTAGGTGGAAGATAATTAAGAATGTGTTTGTGTAGCTACACATATGTATATACATTTCTTATATGTGAACAAAAACATTTTTGTATGATATAAAATGCTGTATACCATTTCTGCTTTTAAAACTTAACATATATGAGCATCATTCCACTTCAAGATTGTAGGTATAGTTTTTTCTTTAAGTAGGGTTTTGTTCCTAGGACCTAGCTAAGTTAGGTAGCCATGTTCATTGCTCCTCTGATATTCTCTGCTTATTTTTGTAATAGCGGTTACTGCACACACAGTATTTTTTTATTGTTCTCATGTCAGTTGTCCTTCAAATTTCTTCCATCAACTCTTTAATCCCAAATTATGTTTTTTTTCTTTGTTCTTACTACCCCCTTTCTCCTTTAATTGTTTTGCAATCAGGATTTCACTTCCACAGAATTATTTATAAACTGCTCTTGAATTCATTTATTTCTAGTTCTTTTTATCCCTTATTTTATTTGACCTTATTTCAGCACTTGACTCTTGACTCTTCTCTCTTTTGAAACTTTCTCTTTCCTTTGGATTTGTTTTGTCAGATTTACTTGGTTCTCCTCTTACCACTGTCACTGCCTTTTTTAAATTTTCTTGGTGGGAACTTCTGCCTGTTCTCACACTCTTAACAGTGGATATTTCAGACTTGTGTTTGAAGGATAGACTAAATCTATTTTTTCCTATTTCTTTTGCTAAGCACAACTAGAAATATTGGACATTATATGTGAAACTGATATAAGAAGATAGGCTCGTAACCTTGGGACTTAAGGAACAATTTGGCAGTGAGTTTGCTGGGTTGTCTTTCTGCCTTTTTGTCAGATTTGGAGGTGAAGAAGTCAGCAACCCAGAAATGACAGGGGGCACAGAAGAAGTCCCAACAAAAGCCTCTCTCTTAAACCAAAGGACCACAAAAATGACAGCAAGCAAGACAGAAAACATTGACAATAACTACTCTGTGTCTGTTAAATACCACGGAAAAAGATCTGTGGCCCTATCCCTACCCACACCATCAAAAAGCAAAGTGGGTAGTCTGGATTTCTACCCACAGATGGCAGTAATGAGGTATTCTTCCTCCTCCTGACTGGCATTGTGTTCAAAAAGGCCAGTAGAGTCTGGGCTTTCACCATCACCAGTAATAACAGATGTCCACATCCCCCTTCCATGGTGCTATTGTAGGTTACACGGTGGCCATAATGAGGCAGTCCTTTTCTCCATCAGGCAGTGCCCAGATTTTCATACATGTCAAGTGGTAACAAAGAATCTCTCTTGGACTTCTGTTACCACCTGGCAGTGATGAGGTGGTGCTTTCTCTTCTTCCACTGGAGCTATGTCACAGAAAGCTTACTGAACTAAGAGGTTTATATAAGATTTGGAGTCTTATAATATGATATCCCAAATTTTCAGGCTTCTGTATTAAAAATATGTCATACCAAGAAGCAGGAAAATCCCAAACTCAATGAAAAAAGAAAATAGGTGACAATACTGATATGACAGAGATGGTAGAATTATCTGGCAAGAATCTTTTAAAAAGCAGCCATCATAAAAGTGTTAAAATGGGCAAATAGGAATGTGCTGAAACAAAAGAAAAAAAGTAGAAAGTCTCAGCAAAGAAATAGCGGAAACTTTATTTTTTCTTTTAAAGAACCAAATGGAAATCTTAGAAGTGAAGAATTCAATAATTGAAACAAAAAGCTTACTGGAGGGCCTCAAGAGCAAAACATGAGGCTGAAAGGAGAGAATTAGTTAACTGGACTATAGAATGATAGAAAGTACACAATCTGGACAACCAGGAAAAAAATAACATACAGAGTCTCAGGGACTTGTGGGTCTATAACAAAAGATCTAACATTCTTGTCATTGTAGTCTTGAGAGAAGAGGACAGGATAAAGTACATGAAGAAATAATGGCGGAATAGGCTGGGCACTGTGGCTCATGCCTGTAATCCCAACACTTTGGTAGGCCATGGTGGGTAGATAGGGTAGATCACCTGAGGTCAGGAGTTTGAGACCAGCCTGGCCAACATGGTGAAACCCTGTCTCTACTAAAAATGAAACATTAGCCAGGCGTGGTGGCACATGCCTGTAATCCCAGCTACTTGGGAGGCTAAGGCAGGAGAATTGCTTAGAACCCGGAAGGTGGAGGTTGCAGTGAGCCAAGATTGCATCATTGCACTCCAGCCTGGGTGATAGAGCGAGACTGTCTCAAAAAAAAAAAAAAAAGTCCGAATAGTTCCCAAATTTGGCAAGACATAAACCTACGAAAACTGAATGAATCACAAACAGGGTAAACTCAAAGA